TTATCGAAGGTAACAAAACTAACGTCGATCTTATACCATGAAGTATCAAGAGGGAGAGAAAGCTGAGGGGTATCGTTATTGCGTAGCAGTGATGAAGATTTGTGATACATTTTGATTGCCTTATATAAGCAAAGTTCATACTTCTCGTAAATCAGCAGAAACAATGAAGGGTGGTCAACCATCAAAAAATGTGATTGATGATTGAGTCACCCCCATTTATCGTAATCCATCTACATTGTTCACAAAATTTTCCATATTAGTACGAAGAATTATGCAATCGAGTTAGCCGAAAAATGTATTTATTGGAAATGAATAGATTTTTGTGTAAATTTTAAAAATAAATTAGCTGATTCTCTAGGCTTCTTTGCAATAACCAAGTGTACTTTTAGAAGATAATTTTCCTTCACTATCATTGTCAAGCAATTCATCACTTTCATTTGATTTTGATCGCTTTTTCCTACTGGTCATTTTCCGAGCAGAGTCACGTAATATCCACACATGAAATCTTGCGTGCCATTTCATAGCTTCTCTCTTCCATTGCTGCAAGAGGGTAACAAGACAAATAACAATGCTTGTTTTGTACATACTACTGAAATGCAATGATCCGAGGAAAGCCAAAATATGGATGGTTTTTACCAAGACCCTTCTCATCTCCAATTATTCCGACTGCTCTTTGACAATGTAGTTCCCATAGTCACTGTACACCAACCTTTCTGTTCATGAAAATATGTTCGCTTTATAAATCACCGCAAGTGCACGGTTCGTTAACAAGTAATAAAGTGAAAATTGTAAAATTTCGAGTATCGTCCCACGAGAATTGACTTAATCTGATTTCTATTACCAAGACATTAACCGAATCTATTTCACTCAAGATGATTTGATGATTCGAATTTGATAACTAAACTATGGTTTAACTGCAATTTAAACTAAGATTATTACGTAAATGCAAGATGATCTTGAATACACAAGTTTGAAGAAATTAATGTATGAAAAGTGCAATAGGATCCCGAATCACTAAGCAAGCTCACGTTTAATCTTTGTTTCACAATTTGACAACACGACGATCTAGTTGAAAAATCAATGTTTCTAACATATTCAATAATCTCTCTCAAATAGAATTGAACATATTCTCGCATACCATTTAACTATATTTCTATGATAAATGCAATACATGAAAATGTATGACATTTTGTAAATAATTAGAGATTCACGTAGAGTATAGCAGTATATTTATATCCCCTATCGGACTCTACGATGATTTATACCTTGTCGAGCTTATTTTCCTTCTTTCGAATGCATAAAATAAGCTACCACACTCACACAACTATTGCGCATATAATTGTAGAGAAAAATCAATGTTTATAAATCATTCAACATAAAATATTCGTGTCTTAATGTCAAAATTGCAAAATAAGAAATTAAAGGTTCACAAAGCGAGATTCATCGTTCTCATAGTACAATAAAAGTTTAGCCTAACATGAATAAAAATAAAGAACAAGAAAATTGTTTAGGAAAAGACGTCACCCAAAACTTGAATATGAATCTTGAATTCTTCAATTTTCAATGTAAAGATCTCTTGATTTTGCCATCCCCTTACTTTTCATTCAGTTTTTCTCCTAAAGTAGCGTGAAAACCTTTTTTCTCGACGTTTTAGGGTTATATAGGTGATCTAAATCTTGTTTCCATACGAGTTGTAGTTGAATTAGGAAACCAGAATTTCGCTGATAATTCCTTCTATGCGACCGCATAGACCCAGAATTTCACTAATAATTCCTTCTATGCGACCGCATAGAAGGATACACAGATTTCACACTGGAATTCCCTACAAGGCTCTATGAGACCGCATAGCCTTGCACGCTATGCGACCGCATAGAGATAGGAACTTCTTATCTCTTGTGGTTTGGTCTTTGCACTTTGTTTTCTCCATTTCTAGACCCTTTTCCCAATTTTCTTGTTCCAATCCAAAAGTTACATGCTCAATTCGATTGTGTCCTCTTCACTTCTTCACTTTATCTTCCTGGTCATTTTTTGGATATCTGCATTTCAGTCCCTGAACTTTGATTTTCCTTCATCCTTTTTCAAAAACCGAATGATCTTATTAACCACATCTTGATTAGTTCCATTAACATATCATCAACATATAAGCAAATTATCACACCTTAATTATTTTCAAATTTTCTATATATGCATTTATCTCCTTCATTTATCACATAACCACTACATGTCAAAACTATAACAAATTTTTCATACTATTGCTTAGAATCAAATTTATTGTGACATTGCTTAGGAGATTGTTTAAGACCATAAATGTATTTTGAAGGGAAAAACTACCCAAAGCCCTACATATAAAATATACTCACTCCGTCCCAATTATATAGCTGAGTTTTCTTTTTCTCTTATCCCAAATATATAGGTATGTTTCCTAATGTAGAATATTTTGTTGTATTCTTTTATCAATATACCTTTATTAAATTTTCCTCATGAAAAAAACTAATTGTACAAAAAAAGTTTGACAAAAAAGTTGACAAACCCTCACAATGAGGGGGGGCTACTTTTTATTATAAATTTTTTATTCACGTGGGGCCGGCTATCATGTGCGGGTTTGTCT